GTGAAATTCTGGCCAGGATGGTGGGGTTGTTGATCTTGTAGCCATTGAGATGCAGAACGGGGAGAACAGCACCGTCGACAATGGGGTTGAGGAACTTTGTGCTGTGCCAAGCAGTGGCCAGGGGACCGGTCTCAGCCTCACCATCGCCGACCATGGTCAGAGCGATGAGGCCGGGGTGATCGTAGACGGCGCCAAAGGCGTGGGAAACGGAGTAGCCGAGCTCTCCACCCTCGTGGATGGAGCCTGGGGTCTCCGGGGTGGCATGAGAGCCAATGCCGCCGGGGAATGAGAAGGACTTGAAGAACTTCTGCATGCCCTCCTCGTCCTCCGACTTTTCGGGGTAGACCTCGGAGTATACACCCTCGAGGTAGGACTGGGAGAGAACGGCCGGAGCGCCGTGGCCGGGGCCAGAGATGAAGATGGAATCGAGATCGTACTTCTTGATGAGGCGGTTGAAGTGCATCCAGGTGAAGATTTGGCCCGGAGCAGAACCGAAGTGGCCGAGTAACCTCAGCTTCAAGTGCTCAATCTTGAGGGGCTCCTTAAGGAGAGGGTTCTCCTTTAGGTAGATCATACCCAGAGACAGGTACAAGCTAGCCTTCCAGAAGTCATTGTACTTCTCAATCTCCTCCTGAGAAAGAGGCTCGCCCTTGACGGTTGACCGGGCTGGGCCATACGGGCTGATGGACTCGACCTCCGTGTCTGTCATTGTGGAGGTGGTGTGTGTGTAAGTGATGGTGTAGAAGAGTGTATGTTCAGGCCAAGATGCCTTAGAGGTGGTGGATTGGAAAAGAGGCAAGAAGAAGGACGTGGCTTGAGAGGGCTTGGTCTTTATACCTCTTGATCAAAGGTCAAGATGCCGGAGGAGAGACAAGGACGTGGACGAGTTGCGGCCGCTTTGCCCAGAAGCCGTTGGCGGGTTGGCAGCTCAGCCCAGGTTTGGAACTGATGCTTACACTCATGGTGCTGATCTCGGGTGGGAAGCAGGCGGCAAGCAGCGCAACGCAGGTCCGGGAGCTATCAGCCGATGTTGACGGACCTGACCAGGGTGGCAGGCGAAGGTTGCAGACGTTGGAGACAGGAGAGGCGAGCAAGGGGTTTACGAAAGTACGGGACAGGTACGTAGCCATCGAGACGGGCATTCGAGCGTTTCTGGAACGTGTCGTTGGGCCTGGAGAGAGTCCAACGGGTTGGCAACGTGGGGGGTGGTCCATGGACGTGGTGACATGGCCCATTGCAATCCTGGAGTCGTGGATGGAAGTGGTGCCGGTGGTGCTGGAGGTGGTAGCATTTTCTGGGCACTCCGGAAAGTGCCTATGACAGGCCGGGGCCGGGGTTTCTGGAGAGGTGACTAGGCGCAAATGCAGGTGAGCTGAGGAATTTTTGGGTTTTCGGTGCATATCTTTGGCTGTTGAAGGTTGATCTCTGGGTGGTTCTGCGTGGGGAGGCAGAGGGAAAAAAGGTGGTCTGATTTTCTGAAAGCGACTCGACTGCGGCCACGGCGCCCACCGACATGTAGCCGACGTCACCTTACGCCCCACGCAGCTGACTTTTGCTTCTTGACCGCGTCATTGCACTTGTCCTTCTTGCCTATTCGTTTTCTCTAGATGGAAAAGTACGGTTTTGATAGACTCTCTGCCGTGTTGCGTGCATCGGGGGCAGTCTGTCGTGGTCGGATGAAGCGGGTGTTGTGTTGGGGTGAGGTTGAGGTGGTACATGGCCGTTACGGCGACGCTAGGGCCTTTACGGTGCTGGACGGTGAGCGGTGGACGGTGAGCGCGCCGGGCAAGGTGAGAGCGAGGAGACGGCCAGGTGAGACGGTCCGGGCAACTGCTCGTCCGGACCGGCTGGGCTGCCCATGGATACGTAAAAGTCTCAACTGCGAGAGGGAAAGAGCTGGGCAGTGAGACATGGCTGGAAGAGGCAAGAACTCAAGGAAGGTGCACCTACCTCAGGCAGTGACGGGTGAGGCATCGGGCCTTCCTCAAGATCCGTGACGGGGCCGGACCTTCCTGTGACACCAGCGAGTTCCTTCTATGTCTTCTGTGAGGCCATTGCTATCCTCATGCACGCACATCATCTTCTCGGGAGGCTCTGTTCGAGCGGCCGGGCTCACCGTCTCGTAGCTGCTTCGTTACACCAACAACCAGCCAAGGCCAATCCCAACCCTGCCGCACCCAGACACTAGGAAATGGCCTTTCCCTTTCGACACCCTAACCTCCATCGTCTTCGCCGAATGGTCTCACTACCTAATCGTCGGGAATGAGATGGTCAGCTTCCAGGACTACGGGAAATCGCCAGATACGATTCCGCCCTTGGCGTGGCATTGAAGCAGATGGCCTCGGCAAAATGTCTCCCTACCATCACGGCACTGTGGCCTCGTCCTGCCGAGAAAACAGCAGAATTCTCTTCCCTCGCCGCACGCAGAGCCTCCGTTGCCTCGCGCCTTCCAGAGCCAAGACCTGCCGTTTTGCCATCTCGGTCCGTTTATCCAACCCGTGGTCTGCTGCTGCGTTCCCCCAGCAGATACCAGACTACAGCAGGCCACTGATTCAGTGTCGGGCATCATCCACCACCAACAAGCATCGCCATCCGCAATACTGCCATCAATGATAGCAGAGCGGAGCTGGAAATGGCAAGATGAATGTCAAAACAAGGTCCTTGTCCGTCCTCGAGCAAGGATGGCAGACCAGGGCATCGATCAGCCAACGGTCGACCAACCCATCTCGTTCTCGATGTCAACCAAGCAAAGACAAGGCACGCGGCAATGTCCCGCCCGCTCCAAAGAGGTGTCTTGGCCATGCCCCGAAAGCTATGCCAAATGGGCCAAAACCACGCCGGTCTGCCTCAGTCGTGTACCTGCTGGCGGCCGGCCTGTTGCGGACGACAGACAACAGCACCAGCGGAAGCCGGCCGGCTCCTCGCCCAAATTCAAAAGCAGCTGATTCCAAAGGCAGTCTGGATCGTGTGCCTGCACGCAGATCATGGCACAGCTGCCTCCACTCGTCTGCCCTAAACCTGGCAGCCTGCAGTGGCGCCCCTGCTCACCCTGACAGCTTTCCACAGACCCCGCCGAGTGTCAATCCTGCAGACATCACCCCACCATGCATTTTACGAGCGGAAGCTAGGACCCCAGCCCCGACGCGACGGAGAGCTTGGAGCTTGGAGCCAGTCAAAGCTAGTGGCCTGAATCGAGACTCAAAAATCGTACTTTACGGAAGTTCTGCAAGTCTCCCTTTTCCCTCCCTCACCGTCGTTCCTATGCCCACGGCTCTTTCGTCCATTCCTCTCCTGGCGTCGGCGACAAGACTATCATGATCCTTGGAACAACCGTGGCGAATGAATGCAGAAAACCGCAACGCTCGGCAAGCCAGTCATTGTGTAAGACATCGCCCACAGAGGGGTAACGGCCTTGGCGAAACAGTCCAAAACGACAGGAAGCTCTCCAGGCGAGGAGGACGCTGCGTTCGGCTTGCTGTCTGACCACGGTTGCCCGTTGAAGGATTGGACGAGATTGGGGCCTCCCAACTAGGCCTTCTTGCCGCTCGAAACAGCTGCATGAGAGCAGGAAAGCGTACAGGTCACAAATGATAAAATAAAAAGATTGAGGCCGCTTGGAAGGAATCCATCTTGCCAATACAAGCAACGGGCAGGATGTGGTGCGGTTGCATCACGCCGCAGGGCTGCTGGATAAGGGTCCACGAGGGACAATGAGAGCAACAACAATCAGAGAAGGCCTTCGACGACTGCAATTTTTCGGCTGCCATCTTCGAGGCCTCCTCATAGCATTGCTTTACGACCTCCCATGGCACGGATGTGGATTCTGGACTGTCATCCGAATCATTCATCGCCCATTGTGCACTAAGCTGTCTGATCCCGTTGGCATTTTCGTCCAAGTCAACGGCTGACAACATCCGGTCCCCCGCAGATGTTGCGAAAACCGGTCATTTCACGCATTCCGCATTCTCGGAGCACAAGAGGTTCCGGTTCGCTCGGGTCTGTCGGACGAAGGACCTTCTCCAGAAGCCTTTCGGCGGTGGAGTTTCAGAATTCGATGTTCTGAGGAATGCATTCTGGGCAGCTGTGCCGCAAGCATTTCGCATGCGGGTCGCCAAGTGCGGGCCCGAAGCGGCCAGGGGTTCCCAGAGCTCGTGGTGGGGTTGGCGGGGGATCAGCCGTCAGCAAGCGGGAGCTAACGATTCCAAGCCAGCGTTCAGGGGACTGGTGCTTCGGAGGTTGGACGCCGTCGCTCAGTTGTTCGGCCGAACTGGAGGCCACCGACAAGCAAGCGAGTTGCGACATACACTTGCCTGCCGAAACTGCGAAACAACCGAGCAATAGCCTCAAACGAATGGTAGGCGCGGGAAACCGCAGCAAATCGTGAACTTGAACTCTGCAGCGCTGAGCAATCCGGAGCTTTCGCTTCTTACCCCGCCAATACCAACAACGGTGATCCTAGGCGGCTGAAGCCTCTCGGTGACCTAAGCATGGTCACTTCCACGGCTACATACCTACAGACAAACAAACTTCTATGGTTTGGTCCCGAACTGACAGATCAATAGCTTCCTTCCATTCGAGATTGCTACCCCTGGAACCGTGTCCCACCATCCGCGTGCCTCATCCGCACACTTCATCCGACAAACACCTGAGCCACACATTCTCAACCTTCGTGAACTATCACACTAAGGAACTATCAAACACCATCCATTTATCCGGAGGCACAATGCCGCGTGACAAGCAGCGAGCACCCTCATGAGCCGTCCGAGCCATGGCTGTGCTCCATTTAGATTGGTCCCCAAAATCGTCGCACTCCCGCATCATGGTGGCCTGACGTCACGCCCCCGCCGATCAATGTTCTCCTCTACCGATCTCCAGCTATTCGATGCTATCTGATGGACATATAAGCTTTCCCATGCCACTGCCCCCTTTCCTCCAGACGACGGACGACAGAACTTTCTCCCGCTCTTGCCTCCTGCGGCTATCACATCAGCGATCATCATATGAAAATCAGGTATGGCCCTCACGACGGACAGTGAGAAATGACAGCTCAGCGCTGATATGATATGATGTTGCCACAGACCCAAATACAACATGGCATCCTACCCAAGCCACAAGCCTCAGACCCCGCAACCTCCCCCGCCCATCCCCATCAACGACGGGGACGACGACCAGGGTGGTGCGACGAGAGACTACTGAAGAACGAAGAATGAGAAATTGCACAATAAACGGACACATCTGTACAATATTTGGAAGGATTACGGGGGATTTCATGTCGCATATGGTGGAAACGCACACGTACAAGCGGTGTCTCGAGGGCGCGTCCCAAGCAGACTTGACATCAGCGCCAAGGAGTGATGATTTATTTCGCCCAGATACATACCATTTAACCCAAACTGCTGTATTTGAATGTGACTGTTGTTTCTCAGCAGACAGCCAGCGCACTAAAGCTGAGCCGTTCCCCTCCAGAGCCATTCTGACTCGTCTCGTCTCCTCTCGTCGTGGGCGCCCCCAAACCCCGCACACCCTATCGTCCCAGAAACCCGGACTGACATACGCCTCATCCCGAGATCAGACCATGACCTCGACCGGCTGAAATCCTACGTGCTTGGATGTGACGATCACATGTAGCGCAGTTCCTTCTGCCCTGCGACCAAGGCCCCCGCAGCCTGATCTCGCAGGTTGACTTGTCTTCGGCACCAAAGCATGGGCGCAGAGTTGTTTCGATCTTGCAGTGAGAGGCCAGCTGAATCTCGCAGATGACAGCCCGTTGCTTGATCTTGCAGTCTAGCCTAGCACTCAACTTGATCTCGCAGGTGTCTTGGCCTGAATCTTGCACCGGAAAGTAGTGCCGAAGACGGTGTTACTAAGTAACCCTCGGTGATCTGATACCTGGTCCTTGGGTTTGGGGGCTAGATCTGTGGACGCACTTCGGCAATGAGGCCGGCAAGTAATTCCGACAGAGAGGAGGAGGGGGGAATGGAGGTTATTTTTGGAGTTGGTCTCGTGGTGTGATATTTGATGTTGGGGCGGTTTGGTTGTTACTAAGTCATCCACATCTCTGGGGGTGTTCGTGCTAGGGACAGCATCCATTCACAGTATGTTTCATGTTTATAGCTCTTCGTTGCTCGCTACATTCGAAATGATCCATCCTGAATTGGCCTGACGAGATGAAGTTCCAGGCCAGAAAGACGGGAGGGAAAGGGTATAAAAGTCCTGCTTCAACATACCCATGATTGCTCTTTACAATGGGTATGCAGTACGTGCCGGATAATGTTTTACTCTCTGTATTGAATCTAAATCCCTGGGTGCTGTTTTGTAGTTGCCATACCAAGTATGGGTATATTTATGTTGTCGTAGCCAACGGTTGCCGTTTCCACTCATCATCCAGTGATTATTTCACAGACGTATTCGTCGTCCGTATTCCCGCATGGGTGCCCGCTCCTACACAGCGAAGTCTTGAAGTGCGGGTCTATTTTCCATGCTCCCCATGTTAATGGTTGCAGAAGACCTGGTCGCATACGGCAGAGGTTCTTCTCATTTGTTTGCGGCTGCCAACTCTGAAGTACAGGGCCGCTGCTTTATTTCTACCGCAAGCCTGCTGGTGTCAGGGAGATCTACCTGAATATTTGAGTCGATCTTGAGGAAAGTCTTGCGTAGTTGAGGAGTGCAGTGAGACTGCCGGGGCTTGCTTCAAATCAAGGCGTTCTAAAGTGCGACTTGAAAGAGCTCATCATTTGTAAGACTGTTTCGATTTGCTTTAAAGGACAATATTTGATCACTTTGGCTAACCCTGTCGTCATCTGTGTATTGAACAAGCAATAAGCAGTAAACCACACGAACAAGTGCCTATTCTGCATGATCCAGGCTTCAGATGTCGAAGCGCTGATATTCAACGTTCTTCTTACACCGACCATAGTCCTCTTCATGTCCACGAATTGATTTGGATAGATTACCTAAGTTGTCACAGAGTCGATGTCTTGGCCCTAGTGCGGCATGTTTTATACTACGGACATCTTGGTAAATGAGGTGGCCCTGAAAAGATCATTTTCCTGATGAAACCTTTAAATATAATCAGCTATCAGGCCGTACGGCAACAATTCTATCACATTTGCAGATTGCTTAATTATCAGCCAATAATAAATACATCGCCTATTTCCAGCGTCCGCACCTCTCGGGGTCAAAAAGCTTGTTAAAGTAGCCCGAAGCAAAAGAACATGCCCCCTCACGGGATTGAACCGTGGACCTTCTCATAGTTCGCAACGATACGAGTGAGACGCTCTACCACTGAGCCAAAGGGGCGTGTTGAAGATGCTGGTTGGACGGGAAAGGCGTGAGACATCTCCACAGTGGCTGGCGACGACGATGGTGTGGATATCAAAGTTGGCGCCGTGTGTGGATAGAGGGCTCGGGGCGCGGAGCAAGCGGGTACGGAGCGGGGGTCTGGGGCTGGAAGCTCACAACGCTGCGAACGAAGCCAGGCGACGGAGACGTCGGAGATTCGTCGTCGTCGTCTATCGATATCGTCGTCTATCGATATCGTCGTCTATCGTCGTCTATCGTCGTCTTCGTCTATCGTCATTATCCTTATTATCACTCCTGTCGTTCTCGCTATCACTACGGGTCATAGGGGGTACTGCCCGGATAGCCATCTAACACTGCCCGGGTTGCAAAACTCTCCTCATCAATCGGACGAACCTGCAAGGACCTCATCATCAGACATTGGACACAACACGACGAGCGTAAGCGCACAATGCGGTGATGCTGTCTAATCTCTGGGTATTGAGCTGCAAATGCTATGCTGCGAGCAGTAATCATGCTGCTACCAATTCTTTCGCCATCCATGCTTGGTGAAGTAAGCAAGACCACTAAGTAAACCCAAATAATGAACTGACGCCCGTAAACCTTCGTCATAATGCATCTAGCTATGGAATTGACGTTTGAGACCAGACACTAACGTCTCAATCCATACCCAGTACTCTCGCCGCTCATGTACGTCTTCGCTTTCTTCTGTTTCGAAGCGCCGGGTTCAGGTGCTTCTCTTTTATTCCTCAACGCCGTAAACCTCGAATCGTGATCTAGAGTCGGGTTCTTCTTTTGACGCTGACACGTGGTTTTGAAGAACTTGCCGCGTTCTCATCTGTGCAGTCCGCTTGCCTTTTTCTAGAACGAGTGACGGACCGAGTAACTCGTCTCTTAATCAAGGTGGAATCGCTGTAGCGCCTTTCGCGTTTGAGGGATGGCTTGTGAGATTCAGCATTGCGTGTACGGCGACGCGAGTAACTGCTCATCCCCTTACCTGTCTCATCACCGTCCCTCTCCTTGGCGTCTGTCATTGGCGTTCCCTGTCGTTGGCATCCCCTGTCGTTGGCTGGCGTCTCTGTCGTTGACGTTCCCTGTCGTTGGCGTCCCCTGTCGTTGGCGTCCCTGTCAAAGGCGGCGTCGGTCACAACACCATTATCCTCAGCTGCGACAGAGCTGTCCTCTGCAACACAGACGCCCCACTAGGTTCGACCGGTCTCCGAGGGCAGGACATGTACATCAATCAGATCGATGTCGCCATCTGCGTCCAAGTTGCGCTTCGGAACTTTGACCAAGTCGAGCTTCTTGTCATCGACGTAGCACAGGTAGTATGGATCGCCGTTACTGTTGAGAAGCTCCAGAACCTTCTCGGTGCTAGCGTTCTCTGTAACCGTACGATCGTTGTACTTGCGCCAGATGTTGTCTTCAAAGTCGTGAATCCATACCCAGTAGTGCCCCGCATTCAGCTGTCCGCTGTGACAAATGACCGCTTGCAAACGATATAACTGCTTTCGCGTTTGGAAAAGTGCATCATGTTCAGTCGAGCGCGCCTTCATTTCTTCTTCACGCATGCTCTTTATTTTCTGGCGAGCTTCCGCCAAAGCTCCAACCGGGGCGTCAACTTTCTCAAGCATTGAGTCTGGGGGTGAGGCGTAGGCTGGGAATACGAGTTCCTCCCCAGCAAAACTGAGCGATGTTGTAGGTTCGTCGGTCAAGACCGACTTTTCGTCTTCTGGCTTGTCGACGCGAACGAAGCCGTCGATGAACTTATCCATAAGCTCTGGGTTATCGGCAGAAGTCTTTGCGTTGTTGCTCAGTTGGTCGAGACGCTCCTGGATGACCCATCCTTTTTGCTTGAGTTTGAGGGCATCCGGGTCTCCAGCCGCATCCATGTGTTTGTCCAAGCAGAGCGTTTCGGATACTTGGACAGGGTTCATATTCTTCCGGCCGTCGTTTTTCGTCCTCTGAATGAGTACATGCAAGATCGGCGGAAGCCTCTTGATGGAGGTGAATCGCATGATGTCATGTCCGTCGGTAGTAGCGACCCGCTGGACGTTGAAGTTCCGATCAAGGCCTTGCTCAATAGTGCTGGGTCCTCCCTCCGCAGGGTACGCTGTTATCGCACGTTCCAAGATGGACTCTGCGGTAAACTTTTCTTGATTGGGCATCTTTGTGTGGTTGGCCAGTTCGACGTAGAACGTGTTCATGATTGGCTCCCACTGGATTTCGTTGGAGTCGGTCTCGGTGGGTTTGATTGCTGCTTGCAGACGGTTGATGATGCTACCCATGACTTCTTCGACGTCTTGCTGGTCGGTGCCAGAAGAACGCTTCTGGGTTTCGAGGGCTTTGAGAACTCTTTCCTCGACCGAAGGTGCGGGTGCATCAACCATCTGCACATCCTTTTCATCCGAGTCGCTTGGAGGTACAGGGTGCTCAGAGATGAAATTTACGTCCATGTTGTCCTCATGTACGGCATTCTTATCTTGGTCGGCGTCCAGACTGACCAGCGTCTGTGAGCTCACACTGCTTGCAGAGCCTGAGACAGGGTCTACAGTGATGTTGACCATGTTTGCGTCTGGTAAGGGCCCGACGTGTTCCACGGTCTTTGCGGGAGGTACTGGAGCAGGACGTGCCGGGAGTGGCGGGGGCAAAGGGAACTGTGCGCCCATAACCTCTTGCGTCTTCGGACCCTCCTCCGCGTTCGACTGCTTCTTGATCTCAATCGTGGGTAGGAGCACTGCGTTGGCAAGACGTTGCGACGGACGGATAGCTGTTTCTTTGGTTTTGTCGAGATCCTCCAACAGCTTGCTAAGTTCTTCGACGACTGAGGAAAATTAGCATGGGACTCGGGGATAATCGTTAGCTGATAGCTCACATATTCTTGCAATTACCGCTTCAGCCTGCTCGACCGGGAGTTTGTTTCCTCCAATTCGTCTCATCGTGACCTCGGACTCATCTTGACCAAGCTGGTAGTCTGCGTATTGAGCAAGCAGCGTCCTGAGAGGCACAACCGTTCTCAGGTATTGTAAAATACTGTTGAGATAGCATGTGTTACCAATGTTTTCAAGCCCAGCAGGCAGGTCAAGACGAGGCTTGGTCTCTTCAGACGCTGTGGCCAACCCAGAGGTCGAGTTGATTTTCGCTGAGCTTCCCGCATCACTTCTCCAGCTAAGAACTGTCTGGTGCAGCATGTCGCTCTTTCTATCATTGGCAATGGCCTCCAAAGCGTTCAGCGCCTGGTCGATGACTGGCTTGTTCCCGGCATTGTTAGTGACCTAGGAAAGAGATGTTAGTCGCAGTAGCACGGCGGGGCTCTCGTCTCGTTCAACACACCTTAACCTCACTCATGGCGCGAATACTATCATCTGGCCACTCCTTTTCTGTCTCAAGAATTCGATAAGCTGTGGAAATGTCCATCGGCCCAGTGGTCTGGAGGAGAATCCTGTCGCTGGATCTATGGCGCCCGATGACTTGCATCATCTCTCGCGCGAAATCGGCTTGGGAGGGAGAGTGCTCAATCTTCCTATTGTATGCAGAAATAACCTCGTCATCAGACGCAGTGTACTGCAGGCTGAAGAACGAGTATGCCTGTTGCTGGAGCTCATCCACTGCTCCATTATTCCCACTAGGCGTCCTCTCCACCAGCGTGAGCTCCTGCACTGCCTGTGTTTGAAACTCATCGTCAGCATGTTCCTGGGCAATGTCGCGAAGTGCCGCCACGTAGTCTGCTCGACGTTGCTCGCATAAGACAGACTGCCGTTTGTAGGCGTAGACGATGAGGGCCCTGTCGAAGTCTGGCAACACGCCGAGTATTCGATGAGCCTCGAGAGCTGTCGAAGTGGTTTTGTTCCGTGGATAGTCAAAGCATTGCAACTCCTTTGAAAGACGGTTTCCAGCAGCAGCTCGTGATTCACCTGTCCTTCCACTGCGAACGATCAGGCTCTCTGTTTCAGCCTGCATGTCCTCGATGAACGCCCGAAGAGTGCTAATCTTTGTTGGTGTGCCGGGCGTACCAGGCTCCAACTTGGGTGGGATAAAGTAAGGCTCCGGGACCTCGTCCTTTTCGAGCGTCTCCTCCGAAAACCGAATCGCCCTGAAAATAACATAACATTCTTCTCCGAACACGACATGGAACCGCTTGTTACGTTGCGAAATATTGCGGGGATTCGGTTTGTCTAGTAAATCTCGCAGGTATGTGTTAAGAGTGGAGGGCGCGCTAGTACACCAGTCGTCTCTGGCGTCTGCGAAGCGGTCCGGGGACTCCTTCCGAGCATTTGCCAAGTTGTCGAGAATTCGTTGCTGATCGGTCAGGAGCTGGACCCATTCCCGCTTCAGACGAGGACGCGATATCTCGGCTGTAACCTGGAATGTACAACGAGGGGCCGAGCACGCAAAGTGCTCTACGGCAATGAGAGACTCTTTGATCAGAGGGTGGTACTCGGAGGTGTAGTCCTGGTGCTGAGATGGCTGTCGGACATTGACCAGATGATGCAGGTAAAAGTCTGTGTCTTCTAGGGGAAAGTGGAGGGGTGCGGGCTGGCAGAGTTGAACCAGTTGGTCAGGGTCCCAAGCTCTCCTGATGAGGAAATGGAAGTCGCATGTAGTGCAGACGCAGGAGAGAACACCAGGATTCGCGGCGTCGGCGGTACTCTGGTTGCCAACAAGCACGAGTGTGTGGGATGCATCCTTGCGGCTGCAACGGGCATTCGGATCCCATTGGATATTAGTGAATGAGCCGACGTCGAGCTCAGAGTTGAGAATGTCATGAACCCATCTGGGGGCGAGACGGCCTGCCGGGCGGTTAGTCCAACTGAAGCCTATCCAATTTCTCGGATGTCATAGAGAACACCGACAACCCGAGAGGCGCACCAACAGACATACCCGACTTGCCAACCATCCCCTCCTTGACCTGTGGCGCGCGGCCCTCCCAGTGCTGCGTCATGGGCGGCGAATCTGGGGGAGACATGATGGCGTAGCTGTCTGTCGCGACCATATTGCCGTCAGGACAGCTCCGAGCGTCTTTGTAACTCTGTTATAGTGGCCTAATCCCGTTGTCCGTAACGATGGTCTCGGTCGTGTCGGATTTTCTTTAGATGTGCTCGCCTTGATCGGTTCGTTCGTTCGTGGAGGAGGGGTTGATCACAGCGGGTCACTACGCACCAGGTGAGGTCAGTACCCAGAAACAGCGAGCGACCATTGGCAGGCGCGCGATGCGAGAGTGAGAAAACATACATGACTCAACAGTGCCCTGTTCTGTTGATATGTGTCGTGTTGTCGTGTGTGGTGACAGGTCGTCGCCGGCTAGGTACAAACGAAGCGGTTGTCCGTTTGCTGTCGAGAAGCGGGCGACAGCAGCGGCGACACGAGGTGGACGCTGCTTTCTGGGGCACCGCAAGGGACAGACAGATGGAGGTCGTAAAGGCGGGTATCTAAATGCAAGGACAAACACCAAATGCCCTGATAGAAGTTGATGTCGAAAGCTGTCCCATCGGCACCATTACGACAGCTTTCATGCACTGCGTCAAGGACAGGGAATGGCAGGCCTTAAGCTACCAATGCGCCGGCTTCTAGAAGGCGGTACCTTCCTCCAATGACCTGGTGAGGCAAAGGTGGGCAGTGGCGGGGGACCGAGACGTGGACAGGCTGACGCAGGGCAGCTGGCAGCCTCGCACAGCACACTGGGCGCCGGGGCAGTTTTAGAGCGGCCCGTGGGCACACTAGCGCTGGTGCAGCTGGGTGCTTAGGTAGGTAGGTAGCAGAGGTAGTTTGGAGCTCGGCATCTGTTAATGCTTTCCTATTGAGGCAGGGCCAACCTTGTTCCCCTCTCCCCCAGGCCACCTATTTTTCCTATGCTAGAGCGACTACTCTTCCTATATGCCCGCTGTTATCGTTGCTGCTCTCGTTGCTGCTCTCGTTGCTGCTCTCGTTGCTGCTATCGTTGCTACTGTTGTTGCTATTATCGCTGTCTACTTATCGTCGTCGTCCTTATAAAAGTCACCTAGTACACAGGAAATGTAGTCGCCCATACACAGGAAAACTAGCCGATCTTCTCTCCCCAACTGGGTGGGAGGATCTTTAGGTGCGCCGCGATGTTCCGTGTGGTTAGAATCACATGGAATGCAAGGATGTGGCATCAGAGGGGAGACGAGAGATTACCACGTGATACAACACGTGACAGAAGCTTATTTCCTCTGACTGAGCTGAATATGTGCCTGGCTTAGTCACCCAAGCCCGAGCTGAGCCAACGAACCAAGCTATTGACAATCTTTAGAAGAAGACAGCTGCATTGCCTGCCAAATGCTTAAACACATCGCGAAAGAAAAAAAAACTAGAACGTACAAGTACTTGGGACGTATACGGAAGCAATTGATGCCTTGCGCCTCCTGCCGACTTTCACCGAGCTTGGCTGTTCTCTATTTGCTCTTAAAGTTGACCATCCCCTGCTGTATGATTGGCTCCTCACCGAACCAGACCACGTGACTGTCCCGCCGGAAGCTCCACATCGTCCGTGGAGCTTCAACCCGACCTCAAACTTCCGCAACATCCCTCACCAATCCTTCGTTTCTTCCAATTGAACCTCTGGCCCGCGGAGTGCCCCCGAATCCACCATGGCCGGCGACCACGACGACACGTACCATCCCAAGGATGCCATCAAGACCGCCATCAAGTCCAGCGTCGCTCTTGGCGGTGCCGGTTTCTTCTTGGCCGCCATCACCAACGCTCTTCAGAAGCAGAATGTCGGCGCGATGTCCGTCTTCACCCGCAGCGGAGGCATCATTGCCGTCATGAGTACGTCAAACGAACATACGAGGGTTGCGAGGGGGTGTCTAAATGGGAACGTGTGTGGGCTGACGGAGACACTCGAACAGCTCTCGGCGGCGGCGCGTACGGCTTCACCCAGACTGCCATGGCCAACCTGAGGGAAAAGGACGATGCGTGGAACAGCGCAACCGCCGGTTTCTTCGCCGGTTCTATCCTTGGATTGACGAGTACGGACACCTGCCCCAGGCGCTTGACGCTGCATTTGGATTATGGTAATCATACTTACGCTGCACCACAGCCAAGAGAATGCCCATCGTGCTCGGCCTCGGCGCCGGCTTCGCCGCCTGGCAGGGAGTCTTCGCCCTCACCGGAGGACGCCTCTGGATCAACCGGGCCGACAGACCAGACGAGGAGGAGTTTGACAGCAAGATGGCCATGCGCGCGGCTAGGCGACGCCCGATCGAGGAGACGATTGCAGAGATTGGCGAGGGCAGAGGTGCGCAACCCAACACCCCGTCCATCCGCCCAGAGACTGACACGATACAGGAATCCGCCCACCCGGTTACGAGGAGCGCAGACGCGAAAGGCTCAAGGAGAAGTACGGAGTCGAGATCAACCCCGTCAAGGCGACAGTCGAGTAAAGAAGAAAAAAACCTACCCCACCGTTACCACCACAACAACGAAACCACCAAACCCGCCAAAGCGAGGCATGCTTTTTTTTCTTCCCCGTTTGTACATACACAGGCCCGCGAGAGAAAAACTGTGGGCACGAGAAGAGGAGTCTCATCGGCTAGAGGAATGGAAACTGTATTATTTGTTCCAATGCTCTCTCTGAGCTTTTCGCTGCGCGTAGCCTCTCCGCGTGATGTGTGCCTGTCTCTAACGACGCACCCGCCCCATCGCGTCATAACAAATGGTACGTTACTAACAGCACTGCTTTTGCCGCTCCGTCGTATGATGATACTCTAGCTTCAGAGGCTGTTTATGAATTTTTTTATGATTCGAAACATCACCGTTCTATCATTTGTCTGATTTACCTTGTGGTTACCTATTTCAGTCGGTCTTTACGTCTCTTGGCGGTTGCTAACTACGCCAAGCCAGGTCTCCCGCGAAGCCAAATGCCATGGTGTGCACGCAGGTGCTTGTCTCCCATCACGATGTGAGCCTCCCCCACTGCACCACTGCTTCCCCTCTCTCCATGATGATACAGTAGCTTCAGAGGCTGTTTATGATCAAATATGATTCGACCCATCACCGTTCTATCATTTGTCTGATTTGGATTTCTCACCCCGGCCATGACTGCAACTCTTTGCCTCCATCTGTAGCTAACAGCATCGGCCCAGACCTTCCCCAACCGGGCAATCGTAGCCCCCGGCAAGTTCTGTCGACATCACCGTAATGTAAGCCAGCCTTCGCCTCCTATATTGCTCCCTTCCATGATGATACATTAGCTTCAGAGGCTGTTTATGAAAATCTTTTATGATTCGACCTTTCACCGTTCTATCATTTGTCTGATCCCAATAACGAACCACACTCTTCTCTGCCAACTCGGCTTAGTACATTTGCTAACTGTTGGTTCCAAGACTCTCAAGTTGACATATGTCTCGATACCCACGTCACCCGATAGCCTCGCCATTAATGGTACGTAATTCCTCTTCAATACCGTGCCGCCTTGCCCACCCTCAACATGATGAATCCTAGCTTTCAGAGGCTGTTTATGAAATCTTTTCATGATTCGACCCATCACCGTTCTATCATTTTTCTGACCCCGTCCCTCTTCAAAACGCTTGACATACCATCCCGTGGGAAGCAATGACTGACCACCCAACAGACCCTTGATCTCTTCACCGACCACGTCCCCGTGTGATCCTCACTCCAGTAGATGTAAGTTTCCTCATGCCTATTAGGCGTCTTCACCCTCCTCCATTTCATGATGAGACTCAGCTTCAGAGGCTGTTTATGAACCCCATGATTCAAACATCACCGTTCTATCTTTTTGTCTGACAATTACCCCTTGCACACCATCGTCACATATCCGTTCGAATGCCGCCAGCAGCTAACCATGTTGCCAGGTCTCTCTTGCGCCCTGGCCATTCTCGTCGCGTCGCCAGCGTGGCGTGTTCTAGTTGTACTCGTAAGTCAAGTCCACGATCTCCTCCCTACCGCTCCTTCATGATGAGACTCAGCTTCAGAGGCTGTTTATGATTACATCAACATGATTCGAATCATCACCGTTCTATCACTTTCTGATACCCTACCAACTCCCCAAATTACTTGCGCAATGGTTTTGTTGGACATCGTCCGACTAATTCTTGGGCCAAGACTTCTTCACCTCTTACCGCCGATGACTGTCTCGTCTCGTTCTCTCCTCGGACCTGCATGACAAGCAAGCATCGTTACGCCTACTCATGACGGTACGTTCTCTCCATCCTCGTCTCGCCCCCATCTTCATGATGATACTCAGCTTCAGAGGCTGTTTATGACAACACATGATTCGACCAATCACCGTTCTATCTTTACATCTGACACCATTCCTCGCATTCCCGTTCTCACACCTGAAATACTTATCACACCTCGGTTCACTAACACCCTACTTCTGAACCCAGGTGCACCGCTCCTCACTGAATAGAATCGACAAGAAAAAAGAAAAGAAAAAAAGACCCACGCAAAACCGAAGAAAAAAAACCGCCCTTGCGCTGCCGCGGGTCAGCGTCGAACCAAGCGCGCCTGGAGGGATACCAGAGCTCCCCTGTCGAACCAGGTATTATGTTGTGCTGGTGTTTTTACCACTCGGCCATCCGGGGGGATGACCGTGCCGTATGTGAACTGGTTGACGGCTGCTGCCCTCGACGGAGGCTAAGTATCTTTGTCTGTTGCCTAGAGTATGTTTAAGGTGGAACGAGACAAAACGGGAAGGAACCCAAGGGTTGGCACTGCCTTTTTGGGAGGGTTCGGTGAGCTGTGAAAGTTTCCCGGGTTCAGCTGCAATCAAGGGACCTGAGCTGGGCCAACGGCTCCGTAAGGCACATATGCAAATACGTTATAGCTTTCTAGCCTAGCTTTCCACAATCGAAAGCTACTTGGAACGCCAATTGATTGAATCTTACATCTTCTTGGTGCAGCCATGTCTACACATGGCTCTACGTAGCTCTTCCGTAGGCCGTAAACCAGCCAGTATCATTACACTTCCTATAATTCCCCTGA